GGATGCTAACTGCATACTGGCTACGATTCCGAATTGGTTTTCACTGGCGCCTGACTTTAGTCAGCATGTAAGCTAACACCAGAGGTCACAACAGCTAGCTAGCCAGCCTTCCACAGAGGTATTCATATAACAGCAATATTATAATGAGTCTGCAGTGGGTCAAAGCTGGCTAGGAACAGCTTTCTGGTTGAAGTCTGAATATGCCATGGAGTTATGTAACTCTGCGGAGTACGTCTGTCGTCCTCCTCTGCATGTTTTGAGTTATCGTAAGCCAATAACTCCTCTTCAAAGAATGACAAAAGAAGGCAGTTAACATTAAATAAAACACAAAATAAATATACATGCTTAGAATGACAATGTATCGACAGGCAACAGTGTACCAGAAATGTTTGTGGTGCGAGATTTATGGGAAAAGGGAGTGTTCATAAATTGATTTTTACACTTTCGAGTTTGTATAGTTTGGAATAAATATAACTACAGGGTGTGAAATCTCTGCTTTTAAGTGGATCTCCGTGGTTTTGTTGCACATGCAGAATTTCATTTTCCACTTTATTAATTGCCATCGACTGACGAGACAGGACGGCTGTGTACTTTGCATGCATGCAATGTCTACTGACATGTAAATGTACATGGAGTACTTGTACTGACCAGCAGATGTACTTACACATACATGAACATCCTGCACGTGGTGCATGTCCACATTAAGTGAATCACCCATTTGGAGCAGACCCAGTACTCACTGGTTTTGGATCCAGCAGTTTGCATTCCAGTGTTTCTTCTCTGATCAAAAATTACTGAAGTATGAACAGGCGGTTGGTGATGGCACTGCCTGTGAGTTTTCTGACCAAAAAAATCTACAAAAGTCTACTAGATTCTTGCTTATACTGTACGGCATTGAGAAAAGTGTGAAAAGTTGTTGGGAGAGCAACATTGAATCATAACAATTGACCAAATGCATGTATATCCCGAGAAATGAAATAAAAACAGTCAAACTTCACCTATGCTCTTGAACAGTTCCGTTATTTTACACCAACAGCAGGTCGCAGCCAGTGTGCCGTGATTGACAGGGCAATAATCACACTGGCCTAGGGGGAAGTGGGCGCCGGGGTGATTGTCTATTTTATAATTACTTACTGCTGATCCAGTCAGGATGAAACTGGTGAGTTGCATTCTGAGGTTTTGGCTAATGGAAGTTTCACGTAATGCACACATCGGCACAGAGCTTTGTAAACAGCATCCTCGGACCATCAGATTAGTGTGCTGAGATTGGCTGGCAACGAAATATCAATATTCATTTGTGTCAGTGAGACTTGTTGCAGCCGTTTCTGCATGAGCAGAAGTAGTGATTAACAAGTTCCACTATAACTTGCGGTAGCATCATTTCACTGTAAATTTGCAGCTTGAACAAAATTTCCTGCCACTGAAAGAGAGCTTTGTGACAACTGGTTCGAGGCGCCTAAAGTTCTGGTGTCATGCATGCCCACATGATTCTGCATCATTTTGCACAGGTTTCCAAAATGTTGGGACATATGCTCATCAAAATATCAGTACATGCATATACTTAAGTCATTCAGTCATTAAGGTGTTGTATAGAAATTAATACGTGTTTTGAATTTTAAGATATCACAGTACTTATTCATTATTGTCATCACTCCTGAAAATGAAACAAAATATCACAGTTCGCACGCTAATCCTGTTTCTGCGTGTAAATGCTGTCTCGCAAGTGGTTCATTAGAATTTATTGTAAAGAAGACTAGTAGCTAGACTAGCCTGAGACAGTACATGTCATATTGTGGTGAACTCCCCCCCCACCCCTGTCTGTCTAAGTTAGATGAGGCAAGTGCCAACTTGCTAGGCAGAGTCAGGATTGTTAATTTTAGAATTGTGGACAGAGTCCAAATGTGGTCCAAATGAGAAAGAGGGCACAGTCTGGAAATATTTTTCTTTAATTACAAATCCAAACAAAAACCTCATAGGCCCTAGATAAAATCATTAGAATCTCTGTGTTCTGTGTAGCTGCACCAACTACCAAGCTAGCAATCAATGGCGGACACGCTCTCACGGATGTAACTTAACATGTGATTTATTCCGAGTGAAACATCGTTGAATGACATTGAACGGTAGAACATCATGAATGTCAGTGAACATCGTGAACGTTGGTGAACATCATGAGATCTGACAATTGAAAACATGTAACATAACAGTATTGAGAACAGATCTCCCCAAATTAAGAATCTTGCATGTTCAAACAGACAATAAATGATGAGATATTTGCATGATAAAGGTTCGAGACTTCATCCAAGACACGTAACCATATTTCTAGAATAAACTTGCATGTTAAATGCATGGGCTTATATAGATAGAAATGACACAAACTTTGATCTAATAAACCTTCATTTTCCAGCACAAATCCTATATACTAAAGATTAATAATTGAACAATAAGGTAAGGCAAGTATTTACCTCGTGGGCCTGTAGTTGGGTAGCTAAAAATAATGCAGGATGGTTATGGAATCAGTGGAATTAAATCATCTTCAAGGTAGCAATCTGCTGGGCCCATTGTTGAAAATCATGCCAAGTGTAGTCAGAGTGAAGCATTATGGGATGGCTCAAACTAAAGTAAAATAATATTTCTAACAATCACTATAATCTACAAGGAAACATTAATTAAGGACAAACTATAGAATCATAATTTTAGGTAACCTTTTACATTGCGAATGAACTAGCTTTTATGAAGTCACATGACCAAAACAATGATGCCCCAAAACAAACATGGCCGCCTCCTTAAGAAAGCACATGTGCGTGTACAGTTGGCAACACAAGGATGGCTATGCACATGAATAGCATGGTGAGTAACAAAATAAGCAATCTTCAACTGAATTCTTCATTTGAATTGTATCATGTCAGTAACAAGGCAAAAATTGTCAATGTTAAAGAATACTGTGATGGATTTCGCTACACTCCCACCAAATTACCAATGATTTAAACACCGAGTCCAAACATTACATTATTTGTTTTCTTAACGTATTGTTGCAAGATGAAGCATCCCTTAAAATACATGTAACAGCTAAAGGTAAATCATGGTAATTTAACTCTACATTTAACTACAAACTGACAAGAATTAAGCAGGCATGAATAAAGACAAACTAAGAATACTAGTAGCATCTCATACAGGATGATGGAATGGATCTGGCCTCCAGGGTAACTCATTTACTCTGCCTCAAGAAGGAGAACTAACTTTTGGACACATGTAGCTTCTCCACTCGTTTCCCTTCTTTGTCTAGCTTCTTAGTACCAATCCGTACCTTGACTCTTCTGACAAAGCCATCATCATTCTCTGTTGTTTTGATCACAAGACCTAACGGCCATTCCAAGCGAGGGACATCTTCATCCTTCAACAGCACCACGTCTCCCACCTTAACGTTTCGTCTAACTTGGTTCCACTTCTGACGTGAAGTGAGAGAAGCAAGGTATTCCTTTCTCCATCTTGCCCAAAACTGTTCCGCTAGGTATTGAACCTTTCTCCAACGTTTTCTGATGTACAGGTCTTCTTTGACAAACTTCCCGGGAGGTGGCAAGGCTGTTGTTGATTTCATTGTCAGAAGGTGATTCGGGGTGAGTGGTTCAGGGCTCTGAGGATCACTCAGATTATCCACTGTTAGTGGACGACTATTTACGATAGCCATGGCTTCATAGAGAAAGGTGCGCAAGGTGGATCCATCTAGTCTCCCTAGAGCTTGCTGCATGATGGACATCAGAACACTCCTGACTGTTCGGATTTGTCGCTCCCACACACCACCAGCATGACTTGCGTGTGGAGCATTCAGTATGAACTCGCATTGACTCTTCGCCAGGAAAACCTTCACTCTCTCCATGTCAAGCTCCTTGAACCCTTTCGAAATTCATTTTTGGCTCCCACAAAGTTTGATCCCTGATCAGAGCGCAATTGCTGGACAGGGCCCCTCAGGGCAATGAAACATCGAAGTGTATTGATGAAGCTATCTGTGGTCATGTCATCAAGCATTTCAATGTGCACCGCACATGAGCACATACATGTGAACAGGACTCCATACTTCTTAAGCTCCTTCCTGCCTTCCCTTACAGTGAACGGACCAAAGCAGTCTACACCATAAGATGTGAATGGTGGGGAGGGATCTACTCTGTCCTTAGGAAGGTCAGCCATCTTTTGTTCTTCAACTGCCCGTCGTAGACGGCGACATGTTGTACACTTGTGTATGTGGCTGGCAACTACTTTGACCCCCCCCCCCGATAATCCAATATCCATTGGCCCTCACTTCAGTAAGGGTCATTCCTCTTCCTTGGTGATGCACCTTCTTGTGGAAGTGTGAGGTGAGTAGTCTGGTAAGATGTCCGTCTCTTGGCAAAATGGCTGGGTGCTTAATGCTGTCAGGAACTTCTGCGTTCTTGAGGCGTCCTCCAACTCTTAGAATGCCTTCATCGTCTAAGAAAGGATTCAGGCTACAGATTTTACTAGTCATCCTCACTCTATCTGTGTCACTCAATGACTGGATTTCTTCTGGGAACGCTTGCCTCTGGACGGATTTCACAATGAGCCTTTCTGCTTCCTTTCGTTCTTGGGGAGTGGAGAGGCCAACATGACCTTTCTCTTTCTTATTAAGTCGTCTTGTATGTGCCACAGCTCCCGCTAGCTTTGACCAATCTGAAAATCGGGACAGGCAGTCCTCCCAGTCGAAGGACTCTGGCGAGGCAGTGCATTGGAGCGACGTTATCCCTTTCACCTCTGGATCGTCGGAATTCAGCTCACGCACTGGTTCCTTCTCAGTGATCACCATTTCCTTGTCCCACAAGAATTTGGGACCCCTGAACCAATTTGAGTCCTGCAACTCCTTAGCGAAGACTCCTCGTGAGGCGTGGTCAGCAGGATTGAGCTCTGTTGAAATGTAGTGCCACTGACTGGGATCAGAAAACTGCCTGATTTTCTGGACTCTGTTGGCAACAAAGACATGGAAGTGCCTAGCTTCATTGCAGGATATATCCCAGGACAACTTGAGAGTCTGTCCAGAAGTATTCCCTGTCGATGACCAACTCTAATTCCTTCTTTAACATGTGGCTCATCTGAACCGATACAACTGCGGCTGTCAACTCAAGACGAGGAATGGTGACTACCTTGATGTGGGCAACTCTGGCTTTCCCCGACACCAGTGTGCAATGCGCCTTATCTTCTCCAATAAATCTCAAATAGGAGCACTGGCCATATCCTCTTGTACTTGCATCGGAGAAGTGATGTAGTTCCACTGCAATGACCTTTCCGAAGTCATTTGGCTTGTAGCACCCGGGTATCTGGATTTGCTTCAAATTAAGCAGATCATTCTTCCACTTCTCCCACCGTGGGCGCAAGTCATCAGGAAGTGGATCATCCCAGCTTACTCCATTGTGACACATTTCCTGGAGAACTCCTTTCCCAATTAGCACAAAAGGGGCAAGGAAACCAAGAGGGTCATAGATAGAGGCCACCGTTGATAGGATTCCTCGGCGTGTTGGTGTTTGATCCTTGGTCTCGATGTGGAAGTGGAACATGTCTGACTCGACACACCATTTGATGCCGAGGGCCCTCTCCATAGGAAGATCATTTTTCTTCAGGTTTACATCCTTAACTCCGGCTGACCGTTCATCGCTTGGGATGTCCTCAATGACTGCCCTGCTGTTTGACACAAATTTGTGTAGTCGCATCCCTCCTCTGGCACACAGCTCACGAGCCTCTACTACCAATTTCCTTGCTTCATCTTCTGTTTCCGTACTCTTAAGACCATCGTCGACATAGAAGTTTCTTTTGATGAAGACTGCTGCACTGGGGAATTCATTCTCATGTTGACTGGCTAGGTGTTTCAGGCCGTAGTTGGCACATCCAGGTGACGAAGCTGCACCAAAGAGGTGTACCTTCATGCGATACTCCTTTGGTTCATTGCCCAGATCTCCACCTTCCCACCACAGAAACCGCAAGTAGTCGCGGTCATCCTTGTTGACTTGGAATTGGTGGAACATTTTCTCGATGTCGCACATGATGGCCTCTGGATGTTCTCTGTACCGAAGTAGTACTCCAATCAAGTTGTTGATGAGGTCTGGTCCAGTCAGGAGATGACCATTTAGAGAAGTTCCGTCATGACGCGCCGAACAGTCAAACACGACTCTGATTTTTCCAGGTTTCTTGGGGTGATATACTCCATGATGTGGAATATACCAAATTCTGCCATTCTCTCCTTGGCCCTGAACCATTTCAGCATCTCCCCTGCTTATGACCTCCTCCATGAACTTCGTGTAATCGGCATGGTACTTTGGATTGATCTTGAACTTCTTACTAAGATGATTGAGACGTGCCTCAGCTGTTTTCTTGTTATTCGGCAGTGTTGGCTTTCCCCCCCTGAAGGGAAGTGGCATGGTATAGTGGCCACCCTCGGTCTGTCGAATACTGGCTTCCAAAATGCTGACGAATTGG